ATCCCTTTTTATCCTCGTCTCTTTCTTGGGGTTCAACAGCCTTCTTCCGGGCTAACTCAGTCACACCCTGGTCTCCATGTTTACCATTCCTCCTCAACACTAGCCTCAAGTCCTTCTTCATACATCGTTACATATTCGGCTAGCAACCAATCTGCTTCTGCCTCGACACCACCTGGTAGTACTTTGTGCTCTTTTTTAACCAATACTGTGGCTAGCTCGGTCAATGGATCATCAGTAAGTATTCCCTCTCAACTACGTAGTGGCTTCATTCAAGCGCATCCTGTGTATACTTCAGGACATTCTGTTCATCCATGCACTGCTGGAATTACTTCTGCTTCTCATAGTGCTACTAGCAGTTGTGCTGGTAGTGGAAGACAAGTTCCTTTGGCTGCTACAATACGTTATACGACTCCAATAATTAATCATGCGTCAGCTTCTTCCATCGCCTCTGTGGCACAACAAAGTGCTGGCCCGACGTCACTTATTATTGTTCCTCCACAAAGCGTTCAAGTTCAAGCTTGTAGCGGCGCTGTGAATACTGGGACGACTCCAGACGCTCAGACACAACTATCAACACATCACCATCAGGTGTTTCTTCTACCACATTCCCAGCACTCTCAAACTCCGGTGGCTCAACCTTCTGGCTCCACCCGCTTGCTTGTAACTGCAGGTCCCATAACTGGAAGTAAGAAAACTCGTCTCGGTTACTTTTATTATCCTGCATCGTCTTATATTTGCTATTTCTATCACTTATGTAAATAAACTTTTCTAATGTAGGCTTAAAACGGAAAAACTTTTTTCGTAGTTCATAATCTGTTTATCGCCTAATATTTCCCTCGAACTTAAGGTAGTCACTAGTTAATTTCAATGATTTAAGCCACGATATTTTCCATATAAATTTATCTTAAGCAATTTCTCAAAACAATTGCATATATATATATAATTTTTCCAAACTTGCCAGTCGAGAAGCTATTTTAATTTAATCCCATCTGTCCACACATCCATCTTGACGCCATCAATTAACCCGATAACGATCATGACTTGCATTAGCTAAGGGTCTGCACCGTCTATCCATACAAGCTTCACATAATCTGAGCTGTCGGAAATTTTATAATCCTCCAATACAAAATACAAGATATACGTATATGATGATATGTTTAGCATATCCGGGTAGTTGTAGTCAAAGCTTCAGATCTTACGTACAATCTGTGACTCATGACCACAACCCTACATACCTCGTTTTAGGGCTTGTTTCTTTA